GGCCGGGTTATTTGTGCACCGATGCGCTTGGATTTGAGACCCGTTTGGGAAATCAAAGTATGTCTTGGTCATTGAAGCCAGTCTGGAAACAAACGATGCGCATCAGAAGAGCAAATATCCAAAAGATTACGCCTGTGGAGAATAAGTTTCAAAAGAGCAATCTCTAATTCCTCTGAAGAGTAATTCTTGAAAGTTTAAACATGTCAAAAGCAATTCTGTCAATGACACATCTACAAAGATTTAGTTTGTAGAAAAAAAGTCTACTCTGTAAAGAGTAAGTTGACGAAGAGCAAAGCGGATAAAAGCAACTGGAGAAGAGGAAAACCTCTGAAGATCGAGCTTAACTGGAAAGAACAAGTATGAAAAGAGAAAGCCTGAAAATTGCAAGTTCGGTGAAAGTAATTCTCAGAAGAGTTAGCCTTTGAAGAGTATTTCTTGAAAGTTTCAACCTGTACAACCTGTATAAAGCAATTTTCTGAAAGTTACATCTCCAAAAGTTCAGCCTGTAAAAAATAAATTATGTGCATAGCAAGTTGCAAACGTCAAGCACCAAAACAGCAAATTGGATGAGAGGAAATTTAAAGGAGAAAATTTCTGAAAAGTAATTCGAAAACCATCTAGTCCTTGAAGTGCAAATCTCTGAAGATCGAGCCTGGAAAGAACAATGAAGAAAAGAGAAAGTCTGAAAAGTGAAAGTTTGGTAAAAGCAAGTTTCAGAAGAGCAAACCTTTACAGCGCAATTTTCTAAAGAGCGATGGTCAAAATGGCCAAGTCTTCAGAGTTCACACCGCTAGTTTCAAAAAGAGCAAGTACTGCATGTAATGGGAAAGCAATTTCCAAAACAGGAATGATGTTTTAGAAAGCATTTTCGAAATGACACGGATGTTTCGAATTTGTGGAATTTAAAACACAGCACTTTCGTTGGGATGTCAAAAGATCAGCCGCTAACGACATTCAAGGGAAAAATTGTAAAAAATATGATTGCATGTTCCTTGCAAAGAACCATTTTACATGAAAATGAGAATTTTACATAGGGAAAAGCAAGTCTTGGGAAAGAAAATGACGATAATTTCATAAGATTTACTTCAGAATTATATATGCTGTACTGTACTAAACTTTTCTTCTGATGATGCGCCGAACGGCGAAAAAAATGCGTACCACCATTTATCTATAATCATGAGTGTTCATAAGTATAGCTGGAAAAATTAAAGAAAGAATCGTTTAAATTTATAATTTGTTTCCCGTCCATATACAACTTTAAAAAGCTTTTCAAAGATTCGAAGATTGCATTGCAAAAATATATTCTAGAAATATCAGAAGTCGATTTTTATGAGGACATTAGACGCACGAAAAATATTTTCAGGACGTTAGCATTTTAGAAAATCATAAAACGCTGCAGCAACGGGTATTTGAATTCATATTTTGAATATTTATGAGTATTTTACGGCGGTAATCAGAGCGAAGAACAAAGAAAACAATCAACATTACCTATTCTAAAAATATGTAGGTGTTGCAGAAGGATGAATTACAGTATAAGGTTCGAAATAATTTCACAAGAATGGTTTTTAAGAGACATTAATAGATTCGCGGATACTGATTATGTCGTATAGTAGGTCTTTTTAACTTCCGCCTTGATTTCAAGCAATTGTGCAATTTCTGCGCAGAAATAATATGCTGTACTGTATTATACTTTCCTGAAATTTCGCTTTTCAACTACAATATATGGACTGCATTTCTTAATTTCTTAACCAGGAAGAACTTTTAACCAAGCGAC